CTGCATATATATATATGTATATGCTTATATACACACATAGAGCAGAATTTAAAGATTAAAAATTTCCTGAAAAACAATCAGAATGTAAGTACCAAAGACAGAGGCTTCAGAAAACAATGTGATTAGAAAAAAAATGAGATAACCTATCTGGTTTGTTTCCAGTTAATTTAACTTTTTTCCCTAATATATATGAACAAAAGCCAAAGCTGAAGTTGAAATAAAAGAGCTCATTTGCTGGAATTTGAATAATCAGAGCTCATTGCTAGAATGGGGAAAAAGAGATTCTTAGAAAATTTCTGGAAAAAGTAATCCAGTAAACTATTTGTAAGTACTTGGGAGATAAGAAAAAGCTATATAACAAAACTCAACTGATTTTTCAAGAATAACTCACTCGTTTGTTTTTCCTCTTATAGGAGGTGGATGGGAGAGAAATAGAACTTATAGGAGAGAAATAGCACTTATATATGTTTTTTGTAGGGCTTTTAAAGCTGTTTAACCTAAAAAAAAAAAAAAAAGGAATTTTAAAAAATCAAGAGTAGATAAAAAAAGATCAGATTAAAAAAAAAAAAAAAACTGTTACAAAGAAAAAAGGAATTATCCTTAGCACGTAGTGGGCAAGACTGAAAGTACCATCTTATGATGTAGCAGCAAAGATCCAGGTAGGGCATTAGGAGCAGCATTCCGGGAGTGGGAATTTCAAAGCAGTGGAATTGAGGTGGGTTGGAGGCGCCTGTGGAGCCCATGAGCAGAGCTCTTGGAGAACAGTGTGCACGAAGGAGCAACACCCAGGAAGGTCCTCCATGGGGCAGCAAGGCTGCGTGAGCTCTGAGTTCTGTCAGAACCCATTGCAGACTCTTTTTTTTAATACCGTTTGAACATATTTGACATTCTTTAAAAGCTCAGAATCCAGAGGCAAAACAGAAGAATTGTCCATTGCTCAAGTGAGCATCCAAAACTGGACAGCATTTTTTTTTTTTTTAGTTTACTGGATATAGAAAATTGGAATGGCTTTAATCAATACATTCTAAAAATGTCTGAATAGGTAGACATTATTCTAAAACTCATTATTCTAAAATTTATGTCACTTTCAGAGACACAGCGCAGTACTAACAAACAGCTTCAGGACTCCAGAAGCAGCAATTCAGGCTGCTTCAAGCTTATTACATTAAGAAAGTGACAATAATAAGGTCAGCCGCTTGTGCCTTATTTGCTTTGCAGCAATGATGTGTAGAAGGTAAATGGTGTAAGATCATTTAAAAGGTGACAGATAGTTTAAAGCAAATAATTCAAAACTACGACATAAACACACAAGTACCCCCACCTTCCCCTTAGCACCTCATGGCCATCACAATTTCTGCGCTCATGAGTGAGTGCCATTTTCTTTACCATGTCCTACCTCCCTGTTTTCTTCATCTGCCCCTACCCCTCAAACTCAGTCTACCATATTACTATCAAAATATCTTGGAGAATCTCGTCCTTTTCCTTCCCCTGCCTAATACCAGTCTTTCTTACTTCTACTGTCACACTCTGTCTTTTCCCTCTCTGCAAATTAAGCTGCCCTTCTCCCTGCCTCTGTCTCCCAGTCTTTTTCTGGCACTTTGTATTTCTACCTGTTCTCACAACAGCTCTCACGGTTTTGGAGAAAGTCTGAAAATGGAGCCAGAGTATGTCCAGCAGACAAAACAAATCACAAACCAAAAAGGCCTCCAAAGTACTTTTAAAAACACGTGCCTCTTTTGGCCTGAGTAAATACTCATGACTTTTTGAGTATATCATTTTTGAGATAGTTGGAAAATGAAGAAACAGTCCCATTTAAGTCTAGCTACAAAACAACAATAGGCAATATTGTTTTTACTAGACCCAGTCTTTGTCCCCAGAGCAGTTCTGGGAAGTGATGTGTATCTATACTAAAAACGGAATTAAAAGATGATGTTTTTACCCATCCTAAAATGATCCCCAGAACAGTTCTGGGAAGTGATGTGTATCTTCTTTAAGAGTAACCTCTGATTTCAGCCACTTTGAGAACATTTAAAGCTATAAATACTAAAAACGGAATTAAGAGATGATGTTTTTACCCATCCTAAAATGTAAAGCAGAAAATGAAATGCCCCAAATCACCAAATCTGTCTCCAAAACCATCAGATTTTTTAAAATAAGATTCTCTTTTCATCATATTCAGGTAGCAAGACGCAGGCAGGTGCCTGGAGCACCAGATTTTCCACTTTAAAAATGTATGAATTCTAATGAATTTTCTTTTCCAGAAATTGCAATGAATTATTTCTGTAACCATTCATATCAACTTTATCCTGGTCTAATACATCCCTCTTGCAACATTCAATTCCCAATGATTTTAATCTATTCCCTCCGGACAAATCATCCTCGTTTCTAAATGTTTGTGAAAAATACTAATGGATGCCTAAATGAGTGCAGCCTGACAAATTTATGAATCTATCTGTTACACATGATTCCCAGGCTAGCAGAAAATTAGGGTTCACGACCATCTACTTCTACGACTTCTACTTCTTCTCCCTATACGAAACCCAAATTCCTCGCTCCTCCTTTCCTCAGGCACTGAGCAGACAGAAGGAGCCGTATCTCAAGCTCTGTCTTTCTTCCTTGGCAGATGTGACTGACTGTTCACCCTTGACGAGCTAGTTGTGGGAGCAGACATCCAAGCAGGCAGCAGTGTCCCTCAGCCCTAGCAGGACTGGAGACCTCTGAGAGCTGGAATCTCATGGCCAAGGAAAGCTCAAGATATATTTGCCTGAGCTGGCAGCAGGAAACTTCCAGGTTTTTCTTTACATCATGAGCAGGGTGTGGTATGTGCTCATCTCAAAAGACAAACAAGAAAGGGCCCTTTCTAACTTCTGATATCCTGAAGTTGTGTGAGGAATGGATGCTTTTGTTTTGCTTATTCAAGATACAGAATCAGAGGATCAAACCTCTGTGCCGGGCACCTGCGCAGTGAGTGTTTCCCTTGCTGCTCCTCTCGCACACAATCATCTCTCTCAGCTTCCCCGGCTCTGCTGTACAACACGGTCTCTGCAGCACGAGGAGCTGATAGCAGCATCTTCATGACCTGTGACTGAAACAGTGAGTAACCTTTCTGTGCATCCCTGACTCCCAAGTGACTTTGTAATTGTTTTAATTATGAGACTTGACAATAACAAATAAGCTCATAAAGCAGTTCTGTATAGGATGTTCTCCTGTTGACCAAGTCATATGGTTGGAAACAATCACATTTCTCCTGTTCTCCCTTCACAATTGCTTCAGTAACTTGTTCTAGGACCATCTGAGACTTCAGCGTATTCAAAATGCAGCACTGAAAGTTATATTTCTTACTTTATAACATGGCCTTCCTTAATCCCAACACCTTTCTTTAGCTGATCTCACTGATGCTTTGGGGAGTTCATTAACAATAACAACCTTTAAAGTCAGACTTAGCTTAGACATTTCATTTTCCTTCTAAAGTCTGTACATTCCTACCTATGTTTTCTTGCTTCTTACTATATTTCCCTGCAGCCTGCTAATGAATCTTCCTTTCTTCCTGTGACTCTTCTTAGATGCTTTGCCTAAAGGGTACTTGTGCTTAATTCAAGCTCTTCTAAGCTAATCCTAGATTAACATTCTGTCAGTAACCACAGCAGCTAATAAGGTATCATCACTCTTGGCGCAAACTGATCTCAACACAAACCTTGCTCCAGTTGGGCTAAAGCAGCATCGTTCTGGGTATGACAAGACACTCCGCGGAGTCCCTGCAGGTGGGAGGCTGCTCCTCTCCCCCGTCCTTGCGGCAGAACCAAGCTCCTCGTCCATGAGGTCGGTTTCCCGCTGACAAGCGGGTCCAACAGCCGGCCCACGCTGTCGTGGGATGTGTAAACGGGGATCCCCCGGGCCCGACCTGGGCCTCCCGCCACCATTGCCGCCCCCCAGGGACACAGCCATAACGCCCCCAG